TAGCTCCTAGTACATGTTGGATATATAATAGCCATTCAATTAATGGGTATTTTCATTTTTGAAAAATCTTCTTTAAATAACTCAGGAGCAGATGTGGGGTCCTGCTCCACATTTCCTTCCCACTTCTACCTTTGAATATTTGATTCTTCAAAAAAAAAAAATTAGGGAAAGGGTTAAATTCTATACCTTTTCAGAGTAAATTAGGAAGTTTGTAACATAATATCCACTTTGTAAACGTCTGTGCATAATCTAATCTTTGTAATATTCCTATAAAGTACGAAATGTTATTCTATTTTTTCAAAAAACAAGGAAACTGAAATTCCAACAGGTTCATTAACTACATGGTTAATAATGAAGATGTGTAATTTGATTTCTCAGGTGAAGTAGAGCTTTTCCTGAAATAGGTCTGAATAAAATTTCTCATTTGGATAGAGTGATGTAATATGGTTCTTCAACATCTACAAAAAGGAAATAGATTTTATTCAGCTGTTTCTTGATTTAAAAAAAATTAGTATAGAAAAATGATAAATTATCTCATATTACTTATTAGTACAGGAAAATTAGTATAGGAAAATGATAAATTATCTCATATTACCTCAAATTCTTAAACTTTTGAAAATTCAAGCTAGGGTAATGAAATGGTAGCTAGCTAAAACACTGGTGACACCCAACATTATCAGCTGCAAACGTCAAAATGAAGTCCTTTTTTTTTGTTTTCTTTTTCATTTCTTAGTTGGACTCCCACTCTGTCACCCTGGCTAGAGTGCAGTGGCACAATCATGGCTACTGCAGTCTTGACTTTCTGGGCTTGGGTGATCCTTCCGCCTCAGCCTTTGCAACAGCTGGGATTACAGGTGTACGCCACCATGTTGGGTTAATTTTTTTGATTTATTGTAGAGATGAGGTCTGGCTATGTTGCCCAGTCTGGTCTCAAATTCCTGAGCAGGCAATCCTGTTGCCTGGGCCTCCCAAAGTGCTGGGATCACAGACATGAGCCACCACGCCCAACCAGGTCCTAACATTTTCAATGTGGACTGCAGTGGATACATAGGCCTAAGTGAAGTTTTTTTCCATTGAGGCATTTTATTTGTACCTATGTATTACATCCCTAGGGAAAAAAAATCCCAGGATTTTCCCTCCTGTGTGTTTACATCTTGCTTCTTCATGGTCCACGATGTCAGTTGATTGTCAGTACAATGAAACCCAACTGGCAAGATAGGAGCAGATTATTATGCCACTTTTCTAGATCTTTGAGTTGCACATCAAATCAGAGGCTGTCACACTTGTTTAACCTGCCTGAGGATCACAACACTTTTACCAGCTCTGTGTTCATCAATGATTTCAAATTATCCAATGTAACCATACTTCATCATCACAATTAAAAACCAGACGATGACTTTGGAGCACAGCCTGATAAGAATGTGGCATTTGCCTCTTTTCAGCATTGTTGATGCTCCTGAGAGTATCAGCTGGGGCATTCATGCACACCATGATGGCAGCACAGATGGCAGAAATACCTAAGTGAATTTTCTAGAAACAAATGGGTGGCAGCACTCTCTTCTCTGCTTCTTCTGCATCTTATACATATTTTTATTGTTGTAGTGATAGCATTGTAATTATTAACAGATCTCTAAGATATGAGGTGCATATCATTGTCTTTGTAACCAATTGCTGGTACAGTGCCTAGCATATAAAATATACTCACTAAATGTTCACTGAATTAAAACTGATGTAAATAAAACCTAAATCAATAAAATACTTAAAGTATTACAACTGTAAAACAGTTATGACAGTCCCTCCATTGACAGATGGGCGGGAGGCCTGGAAGACTCAGAAGGTGCAACATGTCCCAGAGCACTGAAACCTTCCAGAAGTGATATTTTTCACGGTAAGTACCTGGTTTTACCATGGCATTTCACATGCTCCGGAACTGGTCCATTCCATAAAGGCAGCAGTATTGGCACTGGGTAAACATAAAGCCTATTAAGACAGTTGCCCCTTGAACAATGTGGGGATTGGGGCACCAAAACTTGACTAACAGACTACTGTTGATCAGAAGACTTATTGTCAATATAAACAGTTGATTAACATATTTTATAAACATTCTTAAAAAATATGCTACAGAAAATGTTAAAATCTTGAGAGCAAATGTTTACTATTCAGTAAGTGGAAATGGAACATCTTAAAGGTCTTCAACTTCATATTTGAATAGGCTGAGGGAGGAAGAGGAGGGATTGGTCTTGCTGTATCAAGGGTAGCAGAGGCAGAAGAAACATAAAAGTGGACATGTCTAGTTAAAATCTATGTTGTTCAAGGGTCAACTATATATTAAAAATACAACATTTAGGCTGGATATGCTGGCTCATGCCTGTAATCACACCATTTTGGAGGAAGACTGCTTAAGCCTAGGAGTTCCAGAGCAGCCTAGGTAACATTGGGAGACTGTCTCCTCCAAAATAAACTAATAACAACAATAATAAATTAGGCAGGCATTGTGGTACCTGCCCATAGTTCCAGCTACTCAGAAGGCTGAGGCAAAGGACTGCCAGAGACCAGGAGATGGAGGCCATGGTGAGCCATCCATCCTGGGCGACAAGAGTAAGACTGTGTCTAAAAATAATAAAATAACATGTACGTGATCTGGGCTAGTGGGATGTGTGTTCAGTAAAGCATTTTTGTAATTCAAGGTAAAACTTCTCTGTGACAGCTGCCTAAAGTGAACTGGTTTTGATGACAATTGTTTTAAAGTGTTACACATTGCTGCCCTGATAAACAGTCTTCTAAACAGAAGACAAACTTTAATGATTGAGTCATTATGATGATGTCAGGCCTTGTCTTGAAGACATTCTCAGACTGATATACTCTCTCCCTCCCTGGTGATTCTAACCTACTAACTAGGATGCATCCCACTGTTTCCTTTTCTAGTTTATGTCACTTTTGTTTTTTTCCTTCTTCCATCTTTTTTCTGTCCCTATCCTTCCTTGTCTTTGTTATTAGTGGGGCTTATTTTTCATCACCCTCAATAGTCAATGAGAACATTTTCCCTCCATCTTTGAAAAATGATGGATAACATCCTGTATCTCTAACCTTCCTTAGCTCTGATCGCCATCAGCTGTTTCGTCACTGATAGTTTTTCTACATTCTTTGTTCCAGTTGATGGTGCCTGGGGTAAATGGGAGGGGGTGAGTGCTAAGAAATCAAAGTATTACTTGTTATCCTCTCCATACACACACTCACTTTTCTATTTTCACTTAATTTTCAAAGTACAGTGCAGAAATTTTTCTATCAATGCCTTACTAAAAAGTCAAGCCTTTACATCAAGTCCTTAAGAGTCCAGAAAAATAGGTTACAGACCAAGAAAATAAGTGTCCTAGTCTGCTTTTTTCTTGCTATAACAGAATACCTGAGACTTAGGTAATTTATAAAGAAAAGAGGTTTATTTTGACTCATGGTTCTGAAGGTTGAAAAGTCCAAGATCAGGCAGCCCATGGGATGAGGGCCTCATGCAGCTTCAACTTCTGGGCAGAAAGCAGACAGGGAAGCCGGCGAGAGCAAAGAGGACAAAACACGAGATACTACCTTGCTTTCTACCAACCCACTCTGGTGGGAACTAATCTATTCCAGTGAGGACTAACCCAGTCTTGTGAGAAAGACATGAATCTATCCTAATTGCCTGAGTTATGGTAAGCACAAACCACATTCAAACCATAGCAGTAAGCAAAATAAGAGCCTCCGTGGAAACTAAAACTTGTAGAACATTTAACCATTAATGGATATAATATGCAGAAACTACATTCTTCTAGGCAATAAGGATTTTTATCTAAAAGCATGTATTAACTACACATCTGCTATCAGCTTAGAAAAGTGGAAGTTTTTCTTCCTTTCTTAATGCTTTCACCTTGTCTATTATCACTATAATTTTAGGAAATCATTTAATAAAAATAAAACCTTTACTGTCAACTATTTCTATGTATAATACAAAAGGTTTTAAGAATATTTATTCTTGTATGCTGCAAAGAATGTATATCTTCACTTGTACATATAGCAAAGTAATACTCTGAAAAATATTTTGTATGGAATTTGGTTAAAAAAAAACTCAATTGCTAAAACAATATACTAAATTCATGAAACTGCAAAAATTATACCCTAAGTCCAGGCTCTGAATCTTTTTGCATATTTAACACTAGGTGCATTTATGGAATTTGGGCCTGGTGTGGAAGTGTATTTGAGGTAGGGTGAAACAAAAGCAGGTAAAGACAAATATGGTTAATAAAAGGAAAACAAAAGTTCAAACTAGTCACCTTAGTTCATTTCTCTAGTCTCACGGTGCGTACTATCAGGTTAATTATGGAAAGATGGTCCAGAGCAAACATTCGATGTCACACTGAAAATTCAATGAAACCTATAAAATGCTATTCCTTTAGGTCATCCAAGAGAGCATGACCTAATTTTTGTTACAGAAAATATTTTTGTATTTCTGTAATGGGATTTTATCTATAATAAGAACTCACATTTACTGAACAACCAGTATGTGTCAGAATATGATTATCTGTTTTATAGATGGGAAGTGATCTTGAGTAAATTACTCAAGTTCAAGTAATTTACTTAAGCTCACTTGCATTCTACAACAGAGTCTCAAACACCAGGTGCCAGTTAGCACTCTTGAACTCTGTGCTATACTGTCTTTATACTGTCTTCCCACATATGCAGAGAGACAAGTATGCCTCATTCAGGTAAAATCCCATCGTCTGTCAGAATTTTTTATCTTGTAGCTCATTTAAAATACATACTGAAAGTATTTGACCAATGTAAGATGCTTTTAAAGCATAGTTTTGATCTAAAATTAAAATATTTTCCCTATTACAATTATTTTTAATTTTGCCATCTCCAAAAATGTATAAAACATTTGATACATGTTAAAAACACAGAATAAAACAAAATATTTCATGTTTTAAAAGAACATAACTTAACCAGTTAGTTATTATTCCATGGAAAGCATCTTATAATAAACAAATTTTAATTTTTCATTTAACAACACTAAAGAATGAGGTATATAAATGTTTTAATCACAGACTTTTACTGTATGCAATTAACTATTTCACAACTAGCATCTTACAAAAAAGACAGTACCATTGTGCCTGTAAGAAGTACTGCAAATAAACAGAAAATTACATTACCACACAAAACCACCAAATATCACAACTGTTAGGGTCTACAGTTTTATTTTTTCTTCAAATGTTATCATGATGTCTTTCATGTAATATTTTGTATCCAAGTTATGTTTTTAAGTTCATTTACATTTCAGAAATCTCCTATAGGTGGATATGTAAGAAGAAAATATTAAGAGAAAGCAAGAGACCCTAGGAGAATTTAAGTAGTACTGTGTGGTTTCTAGGTTCAAATTTTAAAATTTAAATACAACATAAAACACTTTATTAGTTGTAAACAAAAATGCAAAATCTGTAGTCATAAAAATATTTTATTGGTAATTTTACATAATAGTGAATGGGGCGGTAAATACTTTTTTCTTTCAGGATATTGATAAATGTATAAGCTGGCAGTTGTGTCTGAAAATAGGGTAATATGATTTTCATAATAATTGTTATATTTAATAAGAGGCCAATTAAACGGATTTAAGATTAGTTATTCCCAGTTCTGTGTAACAGTTCCCATTTCTGTACTAATTAGATTCATACTTCTATGACCCTGGGTAAGTTTGGTATAAGGAAACAGTGATATAACTATCATTAAGTTAAAGCTTTCTAAAATTGCAGCTTTTCAAACATGGCAAGTTTCTCTTTTGCTTTTTTGCCAAATGCTTATAATTACTTGAACTTTGTTTTATATAATACAGAAAATACCAGTGTTCAATGACAACAGCACTAAACCTGAATTATAAAGCTAAATAATCAATGTTTTATTGTTTACTACTCTGCTAGTAAACATTACAATAAATGAATGTTCTGAAAAATAAGCAAACAAACAAAACCTGAAAATGGCTAAACCAGAAACATAATTCAGAACAATAATTTAGTAAAACGTGTCAAAAACATTGGCAAAGGTTCATACAAATTCTTTATTTAATAACAATTTTCCTATTTAACCACACCAAGTACCAGCAGGTGTATTTAAGAGGATAACCATTAAGAAAATCCTGTTGCAGCAATAGTTGATTAAGTTGATCTTTGACTTGTATACATATAACTATTTGTTTCACAATTCTCAAATAATACATATTTAGGCAGCTTGCACTATGTTATAAAAAATTTAAGTTCGTTACATGCCAATAGTATTCAAGAATTATGTGTTAGAATTCACTAAACTAAAAGTGAAAATAGACTTACCAATAACACTGCATAATGAATAATTCAACCACATTTTCATGGCACTTAGTTGCAGAGACCAAAATGTCAAGTCTGGCAATGTTTGGTAGGCATAGATTGCAATAAAATCTAACAAACACTAACAAATTTCTATTTTATGTAAAACTCAAATTATGGATAGTGCATGAGTGTGTTTGTCATGAAAATGTGGTATTTCTTGGCATCATCTGTGTATCTGCATGGTAGGACAGAAGTGACTAAGAAACTGGAGAAATAAACTTTAATGAGATTCTCCATTCAGTGATGAGGCTTCTCCTCTTGGTGAAGATGACCTGGACATTCCCCTCTCTGTGTTATCAGAGCTAGAGCCGCTCTGACTGTGTTGATCTGCAGAAGCAGCACTAGATGCAGGTGGTGACTTTGTTTTCTCCTTAAAGTCTGTAATAATGACTGTCAGATCTCCAACGGTAACTTCCAAATGCTGAGCACTACTCCGATCCACATTTTTCAATCTTGGCCTAAACACAAAAAATGATGAAATTTAAACTAGCTTTACCCTCAGCCAAGTTTCTGAGCATGTAATAAACAATAAAAGTAGGTAAAAGTAATAGAATGACTACATCTATGTTTAAAGTGATTCATGTGTAACCGAACACAAAAACATCATTAAATGTTTCAAATCATTAACATTACTCAAACCAATCATTCATGAACCTTTTCCAACATGACAAAAAATACAAAAAACAAAAACTGTGACAGCCTAGAAGTAGGAGTCTCTTAATTGGGCTTTTATAGTTGTATCAAAATTTTGCAGACAGCTTATTACTTTTATTAAAATAGATGTTTTAGACAATAAAATCGTTGCACCACAGAGGAAGTTGCTAAGAGCTAAAGTTGAGTCATGTGCAGGGCTGTCACTCCTCTGTATGTACTGTTAAGGGTATCATGTTTTCCTTGGAGAAAATAAGACAGAACAAAAAGGGGGATCATGACTGTTCTGACTGATCTCATGACCATTTTGATTACTTAAAGCCCATGCAGGTATCTGGTTCGGTATTTTTAATACCACTCCTGGCTTTCAAATTGCTCTTTTTTATAAAGAAAAAAGAAGAGACACAAACATCTTTTAATCTCATAAAAAGAAAAAAGCATCATCACAGTAAGCTTATATTTGTGGCCTCTGTGTGTGTGTGTGTGTGTGTGTGTGTGTGTTTTCACGTTTTAAAATAAAGTTTATTAGAAAAAGAAGAGAAGAAAGAAAGGGAGACACGTCAGAGCTGGCAAGGGCGAGAGAAACCGCCTGTGTTTAATTTCCAATGGATCCTTTAAACTTAGAAAAAACTTTCACGATACTTTATAATAAAGGAGATCAAAATTTTTACTTTAGTTGTGTGAATTGTGTGTATATAAATATACCAATGTTAAAAAATTATTAAATGGTTTTATTATTTCAAAATGTCATAAAAAACTCTTCAAATTTACCTGGTTTTCTTATGACTGTTCTTTTTGCTAGTTGTTTCTTTTTCACTTTTTTCTTTTTCTACTTTATCTTTTTTCTCTTTCTTTGACTGTGTAGGGGGCACAAACTGCTGAGTAACCTGCTGTGCAACCAACTGGGAGACAGGTCGAGGTTTCCTGTGTGCATGTTAAAAAGAAATGGTTTTTTATTATAACTTAAGATGTAATGTACGTTTCTATGAAAGACTATCTCATGTTATGAGAAAACATAATAGATTATGATAACTTCTGAGAATTCCACAAATATGTAATTCAAATATACAATTTAAAAGATATATTATTGTTTTTCCTGTTCAACAAAACTGGAGCAAACTATAACAGTTAAAATTTATAGTCCAAGATACATGGTTAAATCATTAGAATATAACCGCTAAATAAACCAACATGAGAAATTATTAAAAATGTATATAAAACTAAATGGGAGGCATATATATAAACATGAATTTTAAAAATGAAACTTAAAGGTTTATACTGAAATAATATTTTAATTTATCTTTCCTCCTTCAGAGAAGAAAATGTCTAACCATCTGTGACCATGGCTATAGTTTTTCTTTCCTTTAAAATTTTTCATTTATTAATTTAGTAAAAATTACTGAGTGTCAAAATTTCTAACTCTTTATTGCTTAAATTCTTGAGGTTTTTTAGGTCTCACTCTGCTCTGGAGACCTGCCCAGTTCTTTGAGACTTATCTACTTACTGACGTATTCATTCAAAAAATATTTATTGAGAACCTACAGCAGGAACAATACAGAGTTAGCTGAAATGCTGCCTGGCTTCAACTTCCTTTTTTTTTTTGGAGTTGGAGTCTCACTCCTTCCCCCAGGCTGGAGTGCAGTAGCAGTGCAGTAGCATGCTCACAGCCACCCCAGCGTCGACCTGCTGGGTTCAGGCGATCCTTCCACTTCAGCCTTTCAAGTAGCTGAACTACAGGCATGCACTACCACACCCAGCTAATTTTTTGTTGATTTATCGTAGAGATGAGGTCTCGCTATGTTCCCTGGGCTGGTCTCAAACCCGCAGGCTCAGGCAATCCATTCACCTCGGCCTCCCAAAGCGCTGGGATTACAGGCTGAGTCACCAAGCCTGCTGACTTCAACTTTCAATACTGGTACAAGTTTTCATTCTATTGGTCCAGGGTCAAGGACCCCTCCAGTCTAATGACAGATCTTAGACTGAGGTCAAGATTCAAAGTAAATAGGCTCTATGTTCTTAAGAGAGAAAGAAGAGAAAGGAAAGGAAGGGGGGAAGGGAGAGAAAGATAAAAATACATATTAACAGATGGTCTACAAACAATGGAAACTTTATTGCCTGAAAAATCCTGACCCTATTTTGGTCAGTAGAGGTTTTTAAAAATCTTTTTTTTTTTTGTTTCTTCTTTACAGCAAGACACACTAGAAAATGAGAAATTATTGCACAATGTTAGATTTAAAGCTGCAAGCCAGGGAGTAAACAGGAAACAGTATGTAAAACAGATTTCAGTAGATGAATAATGCATTTTGTTTAGAGCCTACATACTCTGGGTTCTAGAAGGATATTCGGGACAAATGTCCAAAATACAAATTAAAAATAGGACTGACATAGGGTTAGAGATGTAGATCAAGAGTTATACAAATAAAAGTGACGCTGAAAGTATGTTAATTATGGCAAGCTTTAATAAAAAGATCAAGGCAGTGGTTCTCAAATTTAAGGTACGTCAGAATTACCTGGAAGGCTTGTTAACTGCTTGGCCCTACCCCTAGAATTTCAGATTCAGTAAGCCTGACACCAAGAATTTGTTATTTCTAACTAGTTTCCAAGTTATGCTTATGTCTCTTGGGACCACATTTTGAAAAGATGCGTGAAGAAGTGCAATATATTTGGTGAATATTGGTACTACTGCAGCACAAAGTTAACCCTTGGCCTGGGAGACATCTTGCAGATCACCTGCCAGCAAATCGACCAATTTTTTTACAGAACAGTGAAAAATGAATCACTTTCGTATTGAAACCAATTATTTTATTGTAATTATATTTGGCTTATAATGGAATTTTAGACATTGAGGAGCTCACTTATAACAAAAAAAAACCAAAATTTTTTTCTTATATTTTTTCTAATGTGGTTAACATGTGAAATAGTCACTGACCTGCACTGCAGGTTCATTGATACCTGTTGTGCAATAGTAATTCGTCTGATGTCTTTCACCTGATGTTTTTCTATTCAAGCAGACAATGCAGTCTCATTTTCTTTCTCCCACATTAATACTATGTAATTGATTGCCCAGTCTGTGCATCACTGTGAAAGTGCTTCACAATTCTCTTTCTACGTAATACCAGCTCATTTTTTTAAACATGTATCTCAGTATATTTTCCATCTATTTGCTCTTTCATGCAATTTGAATAGAAACTTCAAGAAAACATACATTTTTGAAAAATTTGCACAGGCCTATGTTTGTCTTGTATAATCACCAGCAATCTCTTTTTGTCCTTAGAGAGGGGACATCCAAGAGCAAAGGGTTAAAGCAATCTGAACAGACAGGAAGAGCTACAATAATGAAAACCTAAGGCATCCGATTTATCCTTAAGCCATGAGAGGTTACTGAAGAAACTCAAACTTGAATTTTACAAATACGATGCTGGCATCAGTCTGAAGCAGAAAGGTACTTCAGTGGAAGTGGAAATGTAAGACTGTGGTCTGATAGACAATCATGCAATCTCTGTGCCTAGGGCTGTTTGTTGTTGATTTGTTATCTTTTAATCATCAAATTTTCCATAGTGGTTCTTTTAGGCCTAAGAAAAATGTTTTTTCCTGATCTTGAATAGTTACACCCACTTCTCTTTTTATCCCAGGCATTTTTTTTTTCTTTTTTTTGAGTTGGAGTCTCACTCTGTCACTCAGACTGGAGTGCAGTGGCTGCTGCCGGCCACCGCAGCCTCGACCTGCTGGGCTCCAGCGATCCTTCCGCCTCAGCCTTCCAAGTAGCTGGAACTACAGGCACGCGCTACTGCACCCAGTTAAGTTTTTGATTTATTGTAGAGATGAGGTCTCGCCAAGTTGCCCAGGCGGGTCTCGAACCCGCAGGCTCAGGCAATCCACTCACCTAAGCCTCCCAAAGGCGTGGGATTACAGGCTGAGCCACCGAGCCCAGCTGTCCCAGGCATTTCTAAATGTGTACTACACAACTATTCCATTATTTTATGCTTACTTTAATGTGATGGTTGATTTCCACTTAAAGATTATTATTTTGCGCCTCAATTCTAGGATTATGTAATCCGGTTCAATTTTAGAATAAAGCATAGTGTGTGTGTGTGTGTGTGTGTGTGTGTGTGTGTGTGTGTGTGTGTGTGTGTGTGTGTGTGTGTTCTAGGATTATTTAATCCGGTTCAATTTTAGAATAAAGCATAGTGTGTGTGTGTGTGTGTGTGTGTGTGTGTGTGTGTGTGTGTGTGTGTGTGTCTGTCTCTTAATTATTGAAATAAAGTTCTCTGCTGCTCTCCAGGGGTTGAATGAGTATTAAAGAGGCTCCACTGAAGGTAGGGGAAACATAGCTGATGATCTTTGTACAAGGTTAGCTCAACTCCACCATGACTTGTGAAAAAGAAAGCCCTCTATCTCCAGGAATCTTTTTTTTTTTTTTTGAGTCTCACTCTGTCACCCAGGCTGGAATGCAGTGGCATGCTCATGGCCACTACAGCCTTAACCTGCTGAGCTAAGGCGATCCTTCCATTTCAGCCTTCAAGTAGCTGGAATCATAGGTGCACGCAACCATGCCCAGCTAATTTTTTTTTTAAATTGTAGAGACGAGGTCTTGCCATGTTGCCCAGGCTGATCTAGAACCCATGGACTCAGACAATCCTCTCACCTCTGCCCCACAAAGTGGTGGGATTACAGATGTGAGCTACCACACCTGGCTCTCCAGGAATCTTAATAGTTGTGATCATTTTTCTACTTGATGAGAAAATCTGGCAGATACTAGAAAATGTTAGAGGTGGGAAATAGTTAACTCAGGAAGTAAATGGCAGAGTATCACTTACAAAGTATGCCTTTTCATACTTTTCAGGGATTTATCATTCACGATTTTGACAGTACACCTTTAGTAATGCCTAAAGTTTTACGATAAGGAGCTGATATGCACAAAAAGGTCATCCAGTGAATAAATAAATGCTGTCTGGCTACTGCCCAACTGAACTCTATCATCAACTACTTGTTCGCATGTCATGATTAGGCTGCAATTAGTGAAATACAAAATTCAAAAATTTAGGGATCCTTATGTATCTTTCATATACAGTCCAAACAGACTGTATAAAGTTTGGCAAATCTGTTGATGCACTGCAAAGTTAGAAAAATGGGAATATTTTACTATTCATCAGGATTAAATATTTTTGAAGCTGGCTGACATTCCATGTGGGTAGGAGGTTAATATATGTTGACTGGATATATACAATTTCCAACTACGTGTCTACTCTCCACCACCACCAACAATATTCTGTGTGCTAAATATTACAGGAATAACGCTTTAAGTTTGATTAGCCTCACTGTAATTTAACTTTGTCAAGTTGGAAAAGAAAGGTGGAGGAGGAAGGGAAGGAGGGAGGGAGGAATGGGGCAATAAGAAAGGGAGGGGAAAAGAGGGGAGAGGGAGAAGGGAGAGGGGAGTAAGAGGGGACAGGAAAAGGAAGAGAAAATAAAAAATGCTGACGTTCTTTCTAAAAAGAGGAAACTAACTCAAAATTCAAAAAGAAGTAATCTGCTTAATGACACTAAAATATATGACCAATTGAAGCAATATAGTAAATCTCAATGAGTAAAAAGGCTGAATTAAACTCAAACCTACTGTGAATCTGCTGATAACCTGACTAACAAAAGCCCAAAAATCTCACCAAGGAAAGATTTTATAAGAAGTCACCTGTTTGACAAACTGTACTGCACACTTCCATGTGTCAGGCACTAGTAAGGTGCTGGAGATTAACCGTGAACAAGACAAACACAGGCACTGCTCCTCAGGAAGTTTCCTTAGCTGGTGAGACAGAAAGTAAACTAACTAAAGTAAATTTTGTGAAAAGCACTAAGAAGTAAAAACAACAACAAATGTGGCTGTGAGAAAACAGAGGAGGGACTTATTATAGACAGAGAAAAAAGAACTTTTGTTCATGTTTAACCTGTCAGTACACCAGAAAAAATAGCCATCGCCAAGTACTCTTTATTTTTTGTATTTCATAAGTAATTTACTGAAGTAATAAATAAGAAAACAGTAAAACAACTTTGTTAACATTGTTAAGACTATAAAATATAGTAAACCCAATTTTTAATCCCAAAATAACTTGGTTATGAAGGTGTTGGTTATGAACCTAAAATGACCTTTTTTTTCAGTCGGAATTTCACTCTGTCGCCCAGACAGCCACCACAGCATAGAACTGACGGGCTCAGGTGAACCTTCTGCTTCAGCCTTCCAAGTAGCTCGAACTACAGGCATGCATCCCCCCCATGCCTGGCTAATTTTTTGATTTATCACAGAGAGGAGGCCTCACCATGTTATGGTGCCCAGGTTGGTTTTGAACCCGTGGGCTCAGGCAATCTTCTTACCTCCGCCACCCAAAGTGCTGGGATTATAGGCATGAGCCACGGCACCCAGTTGGTCACGTTTTTGTAAATGTAACTAACTCCTAATCAACCATCAGGAGTAATCCTAGGAGCATAGTCATCTTGTATATATTGATTTCTGATTTCAAATACTTTTTTTTTTTTTTTGAACTGGAGTCTCACTCTGTCGCCCAGACTGGAGTGCAGTGGTACACTCATGGTCACCCCAGTGTCGACGTGCTGGGCTCCAACAATCCTGCTTCAGCATTCCAAGTAGCAGGAACTATAGGCATGCACTACCATGCCCAGTTAATATATATTTTTTTATTTATTGTAGAGAAAAGGTCTCACCAAGTTGCTGGGGCTAGTCTCAAACCCACGGGTTCAGGCAATCCACTCACCTCAGCCTCCCAAAGTGCTGGGATTACAGGTTGAGCCACCAAGCACTGCCCAAATACATTTCTAATAGATTTTAGCTTATCTTTACTTCCACCACTTCTTGCACTTGTATCATAGAAAACTACTGTGGAAAACCTGAGGGCTCATACATTTTTGAAGAGAGAACAGCCATTCTCTTTGTTTCAAAATTACCAAATATTTCCATTTTATGAGGTAAAAAGAATACCTTCAGCACCTGTCCACTTATGAATCACATCAAGTAAATTTTTGTGCCAAATACAGAAGAATATCATCACACTTTCTTAAAGCAAAACGAGATGGTCCAAATTCTTGTTGCAAAATATTGTGTGATAAAATTTCTTCTGTTGAATGACCACTTAAACAAAAAACCATATTTCCTTTTTGTCTATAGAAATATCTGTTTGCCTATCGATTCTTTTTTGTGTGTGTGTGAGTCAACTTTCTCACCCAGGCTGGAGCGCACTAGCACAATCACAGCTCCACAGACTTGGCCTCCTGGGCTCAGGCCATCCTTCCTCCTCGGCCCACCAGTAGCTGGGACTACAGGCACATGCCACAAACTCATCTAATTTTTTGATTTCTTGAAGAGATAGGGTTTTGCTATGTTGCCCAGGCTGGTCTCGAGTTCCTGGTCTCAAGCAATCCTCCCACCTTGGCCTCCCAAAGTGCTGGGATTTCCAGGGTGAACCACTGCAACTGATTCTGGCATTTGAGAAAAACTGATCCAAGATATTGTCATTTGAAGACTCACAGTCTGACATTTTCCTTATATGATCAATTTTAACATCGCTACACAATCTTTGTTGCTGCTATCAATCTCTTTGCATTCATCTGATTCATCTGATAATTGCAGAATATCTCCTTTTGTGAATTTTCTTATCTTTGTCATTATGGGAAGATAATGAAAAATTCTGATTTTGAAAATGTGTTCAATGAAAGTAAAAAAGGAGGGAGAATAAAGACCAAAAAAAATGCTGTTTTTTGCTTCTTTTATATTTTCTTGAAAGGTGACACAACACCATCATCTTTTTAGGTGATTCCATCATTTTCTGTTTAACTGTGGTCTCTTGTAACATAATTGGCAATAACTGAATATTAAAGATAAAATAGCTCTCCTAAGATAATAAAATATATTTCAAGAAATAGGAAAAATTAAATCACTAAGATTCCATTATATGTGCTAGAAATATTAGCTGGGCACGGTGGCTCACACCTATAATCCCAGCACTTTGGGAGGCAGAGGCAAGAGGATTGCCTGAGTCCAGAAGTTCAAGACCAGCTGGGGCATCTTTGGCGAGACCTCATCTCCACAATTAGAAAAAAAAATTAGTTGGGTGTAGTGGCGAGTGCCTGTAGTTCCAGCTACTTGAAAGGCTGATGTAGAAGGATTGCCTGAGTCCAGCAGGCTGAGGCTGCAGTGGCCATGAGCATGCCACTGCACTCCAACCTGGACAACAGATTAAGACTCCAAATCAAAAAATAAAAAATAAATGAGCTCAAAAGATCCATATGGTAACTATTAAAAAAAAAGTAAAATTTTTCCTTCTTTAAAGACCTCAAGGAAAAAATAAAACATGAAACATCAATGCTTATAACAGAACTGCTCAAAAAAGAACAAACACTAAAATTGGGTCCAATTTCAGAACAAAGAATCATTTGTGTATTTATATACTAGAATACACATATTCTGTAACTAATTATTTAAATATCACCATATTAGAATAATCATTTGTGATTCTTAGCTCAATATTGAAGAATGTTTATAAATAGCAAAAATCAGAAGTTTCATGAATACCTGTAGAAAATTTCTAATTTCCCTTACTTTACCTTTCTTCCTTCCTTTCTTTTTTAAAAAATACGTTGCCCATGCTAGAGTGCAATGGCTATTCACAGGTACAATCAAGCTCATTGCAGGCTTTAACTCAGGCCTCAAGTGATCCTCCTGCTTCAGCCTCCCAAGTAGCTGGACATCAAGGCGTGACACTGTGAAGGGCTCGTATCTGGTAATTTTAATTATCCTCAACTGTCAGAAAACTGCTCAGTAAGAAAGAAAGGTTTCTAGGACTATCAAGAAAAAAAAATCTTTGATAAGAAATCATTCTTCTTTTCTCACCCTACCCCAATATAGTTTAACATTTCTGTAGCTATAAGGTAGCGTCTCTCTCTCATTTAACTTTAAATTTCCATTTTTAATGCCTCCTTTGCTCTCCCCTCCCTTAAAAGAAAAATTAAACCTCTTTGCCCCTTGCATTTCCTACTAGTATGAATTTTCTTCTGGCTTTGTTTTCACACTTCAAACTCTGCCTGCCTCCCAAGATTATTGGGTGGATCAAATAAAATAATAAATGATATATATATAGTAAATTATAAAATGCTTTAATTAAAGAATATTTATAAATAACATACAAGTATATTTTGATAGCATATTTTAAAATCTCAGATTCTGTTACGGTTTTGTTCCACACAAATCCCACAACATTCCTGAAAAACTTCCCATGACTTCTACCTCAGGAAGAGAAAGACATTTTATGTCATATAATTTAAGTAGGGTGATTCAGTTTGCAGAGGGTTGGCATCTTCCTTATATTCCTTTCTAAAAATGATTATCCAACATTGCAGAAAATATAGATTCTAACCTGGTACTTAGCTTTCTTTCCCCAAACTATCAAAATCCTTTTAAACACAATTTCTCCTCTAAAAAAGAATATTACATTCAAAGAAACAAATGACCATTCCCAAAGTAGGTTCAGTAAGCAGATTCTACCATACAAACTCTGGATCTAAGCACATGTTTGTACATTTATATGTCATTTGGCTAAGATGATCTAAGTATTAAAAAAGTAAGATTTTTCTAATTAAATTTATAATTAGTATTTTAATTCAGTAAGTTTAAGGACTTGCAATTACCTTTTTTAATGTTGTAAATATTGTGGGGTTTCTATCCCCCACCGCCATCATAAGAGCACTAACTCCTTTTCCCAGGCATAGAAATAAAACATATATTTGCTTGGATAAAGCTTAGGTATTTCTAACTCTACTTGTCTATAACTTGGAATCCATAATTTGCCCTCACAACTTACCAACCTTATAGGATCACTTTCCAAACTCTTAGCCAATTAAAAAAACCGGGAGAATTTACACTATGTATCACCAATCACAGTAAAAGGTAACTAAGACCTACTGTCTATTCAAATTACCTCCATACTATGAGGCAGCTGTCTTTCTTTAAAATAAGAAACATCTGCTCACATAATTTCTTTCTCAAAATTATTCAGTATTCCCAATAACTATCTGCTAAATTATTTGGTATGACATGCACCCTTGGCAGATTTCTTTCTTGCAATTTTTCTCCTACAAACCCTACAATATTGCCATTGTAAACTACTACTCATTCTTCAAATACAATACATACGTTTTTTCCCAGTCTTCTGCCATTACAGGTGTTGTTCTTTCTGTTGTAAAATGTCACACTCTTAAACATGATTAAGATGCTAAATTTTGTTATGTGTTTTTGACAAGTCACATTATACTATGATTGTATACATGCCTGTAAACTCCTGAAGGATTGCATCAGTTTTGTTTGCTTTTGAGCTGGGGTCTCACTGTGTTTCCCAGGCTGGTGGGCAGTGGCAGAATCATGGCTCACTGCAGCCTCCAACTCCTGGGCTCCGTGATCCTCCTGGGTCAAACTCCTGGCCACCACACCCTGCTAATTTTTGTATTTTTTGTAGAGACAAGGTCTTGCTATGTTGTCCAGGCTGGTCTCAAATCCTGGGCCCAAGTGATCCTCCTGCCTCCACCTCCCAAAGTGCTAGGATTACAGGTGTGAACCACTGCACCCAGCCAAGGATTATGTCTTTTCATTTTTGAAACACTAGTAACCAAGCTCAGAGCTTGACAGATATTCAATAAATGTTTGCTGAATAAATGAAATAGCCCTTCTTCTCTTGGGAATGTTCAATTCTTCCTTTTAAAAAATAATTATCTACCCTTTTTCAAAACATACTCATGTATCACATGTATCATTATGATAACAAAGAAAATTTTTGACATTTGCGTTGGTTTCTGGTTTGTATTCTGCTTTGGGAAACTCATCCATTATAAGAGGTACATCTGTTTTCCCTACATAGAAACAGTATCTCTAATCCTGCTGCTTCCTAAAATTCAATCCTGTAGCTCCACCACTCCAACAATATCACTATTATCTACATTCAACAAGATTAAAACATATTCCCTGTCTCTCCCTTAATGTCAGCTCTAAATGATGGAGAAGTAGGAAAGAACACTAGAAGCAATGAAAGTGGTCAGGGGTTGTTTAATCTGTAATATTCTAATATTTTAAAATAGGTAACTCTAGCCAGGCATGGTGGCACATGCTTGTAGTCCTAGCTACTACAGAGGTTGAGGCAGGAGGATCACTTGGGGCCTGGAGTTCAAGGTTGCAGTGAACTATGATTACATCTGTGAATAGACACTGCACTTCAGCCTGAACAATGTAGTGAGATTCTTCCCCTTAAAAAATAAAGAAAAATGATAAATATGTTAATTATATAATTACTGAGGGGGAAAAAAATACTAAGTGATTTCCTATGGCCTTTACAGACACGAAGAAAAGAGCCAGGACTAGGTATACAGCTCCTATCCTCATTACAAAAATCTCATATCTGGACATGCTTTTTAGTCATTCCCTATACACTTGTGCCAGATTAAACCTTCTAATGCACTGCTCAAGAATTTGACAGATCTCTCATTACCTGCAGGATACAGTCCCCATAGCAGTGCAAATGTTCATTGTGCCAATTCCCAGGTCTCATCCCAGTTAGGAGGAATCTGAATCTCTGGCAAGTTCAGTGATTATTCATTCATTCTTTTTTTTTAAATCAATATTTTTAATTATGATATTGTGGGGTATAGTTAAGGGTTAGGTATACAAATATGCTTCGTTCAGACATCCTTGTTGATAAGAGGTGTCTCCCCATATTCATTCATTCTTAAGTCAGGGACTCACTCCAGCCCAAGCAGGAGTACACTAATACAATCATGGCTCACTGCAGTCTTCAATACCTGGGTTCAAGTGGTCCCTCTGCCTCAACCTCTAGGGACTATAGGAACATTTCATGTAGAGATGAAGTCTTGTTGTGTTGCCCAGGCTGGTCCTGAACTCCTGGGCTCAAGCAATCCTCCAGCCTTGGCCTCCCAAAGTGCTGGGATTACATGTGCGAACCTCTCTGTACCCAGTCCAGTAAGTGATTATTTTAAATACATAAAAATATATAAAAACAAAAATTTAGACTCCTCGACAAACCAGCCTCTAATTGCATCTTCAATGTTAAAGCTATCCACTTTTTGTTCCTAGCACTCTATGCTCTTTCAGCATTTGGTTTAGTTATATGATACTGAGAAAATCATTACTCACACAGGTAAGTAGTAACGAAAACAATATCTTATTTATTTATTTATTCATTCATTCATTCATTTATAGTTGGAGTCTCACTGTTGCCCAGGCTGGAGTGCAGTGGCACAATCATGGCCACTACACCCTCAACCTGCTAGGCTCAGGCAATCCTTCCACCTCAGTCATCCAAGTGGTTGGAAATGCAGGCACATGCCACCGCACCTGGTTAACTTTTTTTATTTATTGTAGAGACGAGGTCTCACCAATTTGCCCAGGCTGATATTGAACCCCTGGGCTCAGGCAATCCTTTTGCCTCCACCTCCCAAAGTGCTGGGATTACAGGCATGAGCCACCGCATCCTGTTGACAATCTCTTAACTTTAAATTTACCTTGAATCTTGGGAAGTTCTTCAATTAAAGTAATTTAGGAGCTTGAAAGAAAAATACACAGAATTTTGGGTTAAAGTTGAATCATTAACAGTAATTAATAACCACTTATACATTTTATCATAATAAAAGACAGAAGGCATACAAAATTATACAAAATCATGATTTGAAATCTTTTATATCCAGCCATTTTTGTCTACTTCGTTATGAAACTATGATGACAACATGTACCATCAGCAGATGGACTAGAGTCTTCTAAAATGTGCTTTAGCTGAGGCATATGTGTGCCATAGTATTAAATTAATTTAGATGACATACAATTTTATGTAAGCCAACATGAGACTTGAATTTTTTAAAAGAGACTAGCACGGGGCAACAACATTCCTAACTGGTGACATATTTTTAAGGGGTTGAAAAACACAGAAGCCTAGAGATAACTGAAGTGTTATTTTAAGGCCTACACAGGAATGAATTAATCAAGTATATATTCAAGAGAAATGAAAACATGTTCACACAAAAATTTATACATGAATACTCATAGCGGCATCATCACTAATAGCCAAAAGTGGAAGCAACCAAATGTTTACCAACTAATGAATGGATAAATCACATGTGGCATATATCCATACAGTGGAACATCATTTAGCCATAAAAAGGAATACAGTATTGACAGATGCTACAAATATGGATGAATCTTGAAAATACAGTATTATGCTAAGTGAAAGACACCAGTCACAAAAGACCACATATTCTTGTATGATTGTTTATATAAAATGTCCAAAATAGGCGAATCTGCAGATAGGAAGTAGACTTGTGGCTGCCCAGATGTAGGGTGTGTTGAGGAATGGAATGAGGACAACTGTTAATGGATATGATGTTTCTTTTTGGCCTAATGGAAATATTCTAAAATTAGATTGTGGTGATGGCTACACAATTTTGTGAATAGACTAAATATCAATGAATTGTTTTTGTTTGTTTGTTTTTGAATCTGGGTCTCACTCTGTCAAGCAGGCTGGAGTACAATGGCATGATCATGGCTCCCTACAGCTGAAGCCTCCAGAGCTCAGGCACTCCACCTGCCTCAGGCTCCCAAATAGCTGGGACTACAGGGAAGCGCCACCACTCAAACTAATTTTTGATTTTTTTTTTTTTTTTTTTTTTAGTCTGAGTCTCACTCTGTTGCCCAAGCTGGAGTACAGTGGCACACCCACAGCCACTTGCAGCATCAACCTACTGGGCTCAGATGATCCTTCCGCCTCAGCCTTCTGAAGTAGCTGAACTACAGGTGTGTGCCACCATACCCAGGTAATTTTTTTTAACTTATTGTAGAAACGAGGTCTTGCCAAGTTTCCCAGGCTGGTCTCAAACCTCTGGTCTCAGGTACTCCCCTTGTCTTGGCCTCACAAAGTTCTGGGATTAACAGGGGTGACCCATCATGCCCATCCAACTTTTTTATTTTGTAGCGATAAGGTCTCCCTATGTTGCCCAAGCTAGCCTCGGACTCCTGGGCTCAAGCAATCCTCTCGCCTCCACCACTCAAAGTGCTAGGATTACGCTACCCACTTGATTTCTCTCCTTCTCCTCTCCAACCAAGATTACTCTTCCTTACATTACTTTAGTTAACAAATATTTAGTAAGCACTCACTATGTTCCAGTCACTGTTCTAAGTGCTAGGAACAGAGCACTAAAAAGAAACTTACTTTTATCCCAGTCTGGGTAACATGGCAAGACCTCACCTCTACTAAAAAAAAAAAAAAATTAGCTGGGTAGCACACACCTGTAGTCTTAGCGACTCAGGAAGCTGAGGTGGAAGGACTGCCCGAGCCCAGGAGGTCAAGGCTGTGGTGAGCCATGATCATGCCACTGCACTCCAGCCTTAGTGACAGAGTGTGACTCCAGCCCCAAAACAAACAACCAAAACCCCAAATCTTACTTTTACCATGTGCATTTTATCAAGGGGTGACCTTAATTATTATCTCAGAGAAGACAGAAGCCATTCTTTAAGAATGCTCACACTTTCTGTCCGAGCCTATATACTCTTGAGGCCATATCCATATTCCTATTTAAACCATCCCTCCTCCTGTCCACTGGATCCTTTCTTCAGGACACCACCCCTGCTACTGACCTCCTTTCTTGCCTGCTGCAACAGTATTTCCTTCTCTACTGGGTTATTC